TATATATATATATATATATATATATATATATATATATATATATATATATATATATATGTGTGTGTGTTAGTTAATTTCTTATAAATTTTAATCAGTTTCGTTGCCTACTAAAAAGCAACTTCCACTTAGGTTTTATATATACATATAATTTGCTGCATGGATCTCTACTTTTCCTTACTTCGATCTAATTAAATGATCATACTATCAGATATGATAAGTTGTACGACAATTAATGTTGACTCCATTAGAAAAATGTACACTTATCGGGCTTGATCTTTTATGTACAACAAGTCAACAATTGTAAATAATAATATTTAAATCTCATTAAAAATACATGTAACCAAATATCAACATGTCGTTGACACATAACACATTTAACGTTGTCAAATGGATACATAATGACATAAGTGATTAAGTGGGATATTTGTTTTGTAAATACACAAGTACAAAGAGTTAGTTAACTTACCCTTTAAAAACATAATAACATACATCTTTGCTAGGACCCCAATAAGATTACTGAAATTATATTAAGATTGAAAATATTACTATCTTCTTAACAACAAAAATTATTTTTGTTAATAGTGATGACCTTAGTCCACCGTACCCAAAGTCGTTCTAAGCATATTTAAGGTTCCGCACAGGAACAAAAAAACAAACAAAAAACAACCCTTAAGCTTCACATAATTTTCTAAAATGTTATATATATTTATAACTACCAAATAATTAGAGCATTTTTATGGACTATATATATGGAATTATAGGAATGACGTGATCTTCAACACCAATACTAAGGTCAAGAGTCTGTTAGCTTTTGCTTATGATGTCAATGCTTTGACTTTTTTATGGATTAGGAGTAAAGCAAAATGGGGTAGGAATTTGATTTGGAACTTTTGGGTTGAAAACCCATTGTATTGTACCATGTAATTCCAACTTTTAGTTGTTTTAATTGAAGTTTAGCTGTTAAAATAATAATAATAATAATAATAATAATAATAATAATAATAATAATAATTTTATAACAACAAGAGGAGACCATGTTATTATTTTATATAAAAAAAGGTTTATATAGAAAATAAGTTCCAAAGTATTTAAGTTAGTTTAACAAAAAAAGAAAGATAACAAAAATAATTTATCAACGTTAAGGTTTGAATAGGGGTGTCGGTTTGGATGTATCTAATCCAATCAAATGAATCCAAATTGATTTTGGGTTTCAAACTATGGATTTAAAATTCAAACTATATTCAAATTCAATTTGATCTAAGCAAATTACAATTCGGTTGGATCTGTTTTTATAATTCAATTTTAAAAAATCGAAACATTTTAAAATCACATATAATTAGAATATTAGTGAACTTTATAACATAAAAAAACACATTATTTAGTTGTGGTTTAAAACTTATTAACAACCACTAAAAATTATATTATAGTTTAATATTTTATATATAAAAAACTTTTGAGCGAAAACGCATATTAAGATTTTTTTATTAAGTAGAACTTTTTGAATCTATCTGAAAAAATAAATTAATAAATTTAACAAAATTATAATGAATATATATTAAAAGTAAATAAATAAGAAATTGTTATTCGGTTTTTGGACTATTTGATTCTTATCTTATAAACCAAAACCAACCTGAAATCTAAAATAATAATTCAGTTTTGTTGAAAACCAATCCAAGAATCTGAATATCCGAACCAAATTGTTCAATTAGACAATTCGGTTTTATCCAAATAATTAACAACTCTAGGTTTGAACTCATACCATTTTTAGGGAGGGAAAAGAACATATCCATCCACACTAAATGAGTGTTATGCTTTTGTTCATAAATAAACTTATAAATAAACCAAATGACATCTATTTGAACAAGAAAGAAAAAAAGTAGACACTTATATTTGAACCCTACTAGATTGTGGCCCAAACCAAGCGCTTTACCAAGTAATATGGAAGATGGATTTAAACATTTTAAGAAGCATAATATATAGTATAACTAATATAAACACTAACATAAACAAATTTGGGGCCCTAAATAATTACAGGACCTTAGTTCGTCGCCCAACTTGCCCTACCTATTAGCTCGGGCCTGACCATCCCCTATCCCCAAACTACTGTTTCTTTCTTATATATTTTCAATTAGCATTGTTTTTGTTTCCCATTTATGAATGACATGATACAAGAAAACAAAAAATATCATGGTGTGAATCATGTATATGTATATGCTTATGCATATACACACATACTATATATA